TTTCTAGTTCTTTTTGCAAATTAAAAGCCAAATAAAATATTATGTTGTACCTATTTTAAAAAAAGCAAAAATGTATAAAGTTTACATGTTTAATTAAAGAAAAAAAGGAAAATTAGTGAAAATATTGGTAGGGGAATACATATGAACAACTGCCTGATTTATCCTTAATGATAATAATAATAATAATAATAATAGAAACTGTGAAGGCAATTAAAGACTGGAAATGCAACAGTTCTACGTTCATTCATGTCATTTTCAGCATTAAAATCAAACCAGCACTTATTGCTCAAATCAAATTACATCTGATTCTCTCTCAGCTAATCAATATTCATCAGGGGTCTCCGCATTGGCGCTGTCCGGGGGGATCATTTCAAAGCGAACAATAGCCGCCTATGCTGGATTACACAACTCCGAGCCACCACCACCAATTCCTCTGCTCCTCATCCTCTCAGCTCAGAGTGTGAACTAAAGCTAGCGCTCCACAAGAGCAATTAGCAACCGCTCCAAGCACGGCGGAGCCATTTTTAAAATGCAAATTATTCCTTACGTTACGCAACACCATTTTTGGGAGCAGCTCCCCTCGGAAAAGGAGTAACATCCATAGAAGTAAGCAAAAAGACATGAAAGAGTTCACATATTTGTATTCAGGATGTATTCTGTAAAGCTCATTTTTAAACTTCAGTGATGACAAATTGTGATTAACTGATTTTTACCTGATCATAGTGACCATAAAGATAGCAGAGATTATTTGGGTTAGCACTTTGGGAAATGATCAACATCATAATCATGATCACCCGCACATGAACTTTGATCGCTGGCTAGCGATAACATTGAGCTGACTAAAGACACTGAGCTGTCAGTGCAGAATATGAGCACGGTTCATTGCACAAAATAGCTACTCATCGTTAACCCTGTTAAAGCCTATTGGTAAACTTCATTACACCAATTCCCCTCTGCATGATTTAAACAGCCTACTAGGTCATGCACAAGTCATTCTTTGCTACACTCAATCATACGAATGTGGTGAAGAAAAATTCACAGCGTTTTCCTCTATTATTTCATTCAAAAAGATAAGAATCTAGACTGGATATGAAAGCTCAATGAAAAGATGACTAATAAAAAGATTCAGTCAAAATCTGAGAGGTTATGTAGTTGAAATAGACATAAAGAGTCTTTAATCAGTCTACGAAAAAGGGGACATTCAATGGGATTAAGGAGGTAAAACATCTGACAAATACTGTAAGACAGTTGCCAAGAGAACCAAGGAGGAAAACAATTGTACATCTGGCTGTTTTTCTCGTCTAGACGACAGATCAACTTCTGTAGGGAAAAAGCTGTGGCGCTATTTAGAGGACAAATCTTGGTTAAGAAGCAATAGGCCAGGTTTAATGCATCAATACCTCGAGAAAAATAATTGCATGGCGTATTCATTTAAAAACAAAGCATGACGTAGAGAGTGTTGCAGAGCTAATAACAACATGCATCTTAATAATTGGAGAGACATGAAGCGCTCAGCATTAGATGGGAAGGTGTTATGAATAACAAATCTCACATACAGTACATGTACAGACAAATCAATGTGTGGGTTCAAAAACATTCAGCATTCCTGAAAACCTGCTCTAAAAGCTTATTCTAGAGGTTTATTCTATCAAGCTTTGCACTATAAATCTACACTGTAAAAATCAATAATATTTTACAGAAAAAAGCTACAGTAAAAAAAAAAACTGTTAATTGATTAGCTGTAGTGATAGTAAAGCTATATAATATAGTATTGTTTAACATTGCATTGTGCTGTTTTACTCTAAATTAACAGTAGTTTTTGTAAGTAAAAACAAGAATTACCTTATTTTTTGGTAAAAACAGTAAAAGTACACTCCCAGAAGTCTCTGAAAGACGCATCACATTTGATTAAATTATATATAAATAATTTTGTTTAATATTTTTACAGCATTTTTTTCATGTACGTTAGGGTGTCCGTAGATTTCTTTTGGGGCTAAAAATGATCCAAAATACATATTTGAGAAAATACAGCTAGCCAGCTAGTATTCAAAACTCTCTGCTTGCCATAGCTCGATTTAAAGCAATAAGCTTATAATAATGTTTTTAATCCCAGAGGTACTGGTGGATTTCCATGGAATATTTGAGCATGTCACGTCAGATTTGTACACATAAAGAGTCTCGGAAGGACATTACATTTAGTCACGCAATGCTGACGTTGTTAAAGAGCCCCTATCATGGATTTTTGAAAATGACAGTTCATGTAGTGTGGAATATAGCTCCAAGGGAATGAAAACATCCTGCAAAGATTTATATCTGAAAGTGCACTATATATAAAGTTATTGTCTTTCAAAAGTGAGAGTCGACTCTGAGTCTATGAAATGAATTGTTTTTTGAAACGAGTCATTAACTGTTACATCGTGACGTAGAGAGGTCATTGGCCCAAACAACTGCACGCGCATACGGAAGTGTAAACTTGAAGTGACGTCTAGAACACATTCAAATACTTCAGCTGAATCGCATCATGTTGAGAAGATGCTGTATTCTACATTGCAAAGACAGTTCAGCCATTTGTTTCCATTGTCCAGGGACGAGCATGTTAAGAATCAGTGGTCAGAGTTCATTTTTGCAATGCCCGAACCTTGTGTTCTCATCATTTTAATGAAGAATCATTCAAAATTAAAAAAACCTAAATTAACTCAAATGTGGATTGGCAAGCCGGTTGTTCCTGAAGGAGGGCTCAGTATCCAGTGTATATGGATCAGGTTCGTCATCCTCCGAATCACAATCTGTTAGTAATATTAATAACGTTTGCTGTTATGTTTTCTGTAGCATGCTCAATATAGTTATATTGTGTTGTGTGTGTTGTGTAAACTCCGCGCAGCTTCTCTAAGCGGGGTAAAGTTAGTTTTGTTTTTGATATTCACCAGACATTCACTGAAAAATGGCAATTACCTCCTAAACGACTTAGCCAAATATGACTTCGCTCTATATAATAAGCACTACCCTTCAAAAGCCGCGGCAATGTGAGTTTCGCCGGGAAAGCTCGCACTTGACGGAGACGCGAGTAAGGGGACCGTGTGGAAAGTGCACTTTTTCTTCAAACACTATATACAATTTTCAACACTTGACAAGCTATAATCCTGGTTATGGGCGTTCCGTTGCCGACAGTCTCTGCCTACGGTTTACCAATAACAACTGACTGGGTCATTTGACCAATTGCCACAGATTCGCGTCACTCAAAGGAGGTGTTAGGGAAAATGAATCGTCGAACGAATCATTTGGGAGTCGTTGAGCAAATCAGTTAAAAATAAAAGCATATTATAAGACAAATAAAGTGTTTTTTTTCATCCTTGCATGCACGTTAAACTGTTTTTTGGGAACTCCTAAAACAAAAATAGGAACATTTCAAATGCTATGATAGGGGCTCTTTAACGTTAACAATTTGAGAACAAAGTATAATTTGCACGGTTTTGTGTGATACTGTATGATAACTTATAAACAAACGACTGTTAGTTTTAATCAGCGCAATTTACTGCAATGTCAGAACCACAGTGGATGTTTCTTGCTAGTTCAGATGACTTTTTGAAGTGAAAATTATTATGTTGGTCAATGGTCATACTTCCAAAAAGAATAATCTGTGATTCTGAATGCCACAGTATCCACACCGGCACGGTGACTGACAGCCTCACACTCTACTCAAACATTGTGTTTATCTACGCTGTACCGTGTCGAGGGTGTTGAAGTACAACTCAAGTAAAGTTGATAATCCTGCGAATGACTGCAAGAGGAAAAACGCCGGACTGCAGCTTTAACATTAATGAAACATATGGCTAGGAGTAATTAAATATACAGGCACCAATATGCCATCCCGTAATACCAGAAAAATTGTTACCAGTTTTGATTGCATTTCTGAAAATTTGACTGATTTTTTTTTTTTTTTTTACAGTGTAGGATAAATTGTCCCTTGTATTCAGTGTGCAAATGAAGGACATTATTGTAGGAGAGATTATGATACTGGATACTGAATGACAAAGCATAAACCAAGAGCAGCTGAACATGTAAACAACATTTCACATGGATGTTTTGGAAACAATTTAAAAATATAAATTGAACAGCTTGTGTATACAAGTCAACTGTTACTGAATACAAGCAAAAATAGCCTTTTGAGTTTTAAAGAAACAGACTTCTCTGATAATAGAGCCCATATTAATGTGTTACGGTTCAACTACAGTTCATCAATAAAAAAATGTTTTTAATCCGTATTTGTTCCTGTTTTTCATTAAAATATTTAGACATCCTAGACATCCAAACAGATGCAAACTAGATGCATAAGAAAATATATCTTGAATTATTTTATTTGTTTAACCCAATTGATGTTTTTTTTTTCAGGTTTAGAGCAAGTTTAAATCTAAAAGAATAACTTATTCTATGCAATTTATATTCTCTAGAAAATTGTAATACTGAAAAACAGGGCAAGCATGCCGTTATGGACACACTCACTACGACTAAAGATAAAAAAAAAAACACTAAACAATTAAAACAAAGTTGATATAAGGTGCATTTGGAGGACAGGGGGCTAATGTTGATTTTGTCAGAATCAGCAGACGTAACAAACATGAAAACTTACAGCACACAGAGCAGCTGGTGGAACGGAGAAGCAACAGTATCCGGTTCCGACTGGATCTAAACCTGTCAAACGGTTCTGCGAGCGAAAGAGACGTATGGAGAATCGAGACGATGCAGCAGTCCACCAGTCTACAGTCCCACAGCGCTGCAATGTTTCATAAGAAACGCGGCTGTGTTACAAAACAAGCCAGCTATCAGCTCACACCTAGTCGTTCCTGCAGCGATACCTCTAAGGCACGATAAATTATGAATGATTATGAATTACAAAAACAAACCGTGTGCTTATGCTCAGCTTCGAAAGCGATGTAGCATCTCTATTTCGCAAAACGGTTCGCTGCTGCTGTAATGATACTTAATGGCAATTATAGACTTACCTTTATGTTTATTCGCTGTACGGGAAGTGAAATCTAGCAGGTTCTTAGTGGAAGGAGGAAAAAGAAAGAAAAGAGTGCAGGTGCGAGGAACACAAGCAGACTTTAAAACATCATTAGAAGTCTGGCCTTTTTCCCGAGGGGAGGGTCTTGCTGGGGGATCCGCCGACTTCAGCCAATAGAGAGAGAGAGCAGCTCCCGGAAATGTCAGCTCCCTGAGCACAGCTGTATAGCAATTCAAATGTTTGAATTTTGCTTTTGATTAATGTACTAATTATGCAATTGTTTTTGTTTGTTTGTTTTTTGCAACCTATGTAAGCATAGGCGTATATGCACTGATATATGAATGGTTTATTTTTGTATGCATAGTATTGTTCCCTATTTGAGTTTGTAAATTGATACTGTTTCAATAAAAAAAAAAGGTGTATAGCAATTCATATTTCCCATAATGTAGCTCCATTCGAGAAGGATTTGATTAATTTTCTTCACTTAAAGTCCCCGTGAAATCAAAAATGAACCTATTTACTTTGTTAGCGCATACTTGTCTTGTGGTGAACAATTAATCCGTGCAAGTGAATATATATTAAAAAAATGTTTTACCTTAGTAATCTTTAATCAAAATCTAAAAAGTTACTTCCGGTCTGGAACGGTTTCTTTTTCTGATGACGTAGGTTTCACAGTTTGGGTGGGGAAACGCTTAACCACTCCCCTCAAACCGTGCCTGTTTTATGCTTCTGCGTCGAATCGACGGCGTACCCCCGCAGACCCCTATCCGTCGACGCGAACCCCTCTCCGACCCCTCCGCCGTAGCTCGACGTGCACCTCCAAAAATTTGTAACTATGCGTCGAGGCGACGCAGACAGCAAGGGCTTTGATTGGTCAGATTATACATCAATTCAGGAGTGTAGCTTTTCCGATTTCCCCCTCCCGCTATTAGCGCTATTTTTAACATTTGCACCCTCGTTCTGATAATTATAATACTCTTGTAAAGAAAGTAAATAAACAATTAATCTAAAAATAAACTGTTTTTTTATTTCATTGTTAATATATATGTCTATATTCTTTTCTTTCTTTTTTGCTCGCAATAAACTTCAATCAATCAATAAATCAACGTTTGTTTTGAAACACAGTTTGTTGTTTATTTTCAATACAATGTTCACGGTTACATCATTGATAGTACAGTACTAACCAAGTCTGCCACTGGACACATTATATCCTGCCATAGCACAGTTCCACGTGGAGACTGAAAAAATCCTTTAAGTCATTCCGAACAGGTATCGTTATGGCAGCTCGGGTGGAACCTTTATTTTATTGTCTATGGGTGGAGCGGGCCCTGGACATCCGTGTTGATTCTGTGGGGATAAAGTTTGTGTCGTCTTGTTATTCAACGTCGATTAGCTCCAGCTGACAGCTGCTAAAACAACATTCTCTCTCTTTCGCTCGCGGCGCACGGAACCAAAGAGATTCGCGAACCCCCTAGCGTTCTGGCGGCGAAATGCACCGCGATGCACCACAACCTCACGCAGAAGTATTCGGTTGTTAGTCTGACGTCACGCGTGACGTTTAGCCTCTTCCGGGTCCAAGCGCTCCGCTCGTCCATATCTTAATGTTACAACCCATAACGTTAGAGTAAAGGCCAATTTATACTTCTGCGTCGAGGGTACGCCGTAGTGTACGGCGTTGGCTACGCACGTAGGCGACGCCGTTGTGAGCATTTATACTTCTGCGTTCAGGTCTTGGTTGCTCTGCAGTACTGCTCCGAAACGCTAGTTGGCGGCGGAGAGTTTTAATGTTCCACTGTGTTTAGATTCCTCGCGGCTAGGTTACTACGAGTGAAAGAGAGCTGATCATGTTGGAATTGGAGCTTATTAAGGTGGAAAAACAGTTCACTTTAGTAAAATTACTAAAACTGAAAGGCAGAAATGAGAGAAGACTTCGGAGGAGATGAAACTTGTGGAAATCATAGACAGTGGTGGAAATGCGTGAGAAGGTACGTGCGGAAATGCGTAGGAGGAAATGCGATGCTACCAAGCCAACCAATCACCGATCTTGCGGTCCGCGTCGTCGCGACGTGTAGTTACATTTTTGAAGAGGTGCGCGTCAGGCAACGCGGAAGGGTACGCGGTATGGGACGCGTCTGTGCGTATGCTACGCCGTACCTACTGCGCGCACCCTACGCAGAAGTATAAATTGGCCTTAAGCCCTTTTCTTAAAGGACTGGCTTCGCTTTAGCGCCAGTGGGTGTTAGGGATAAAGGAAAGAATTGTAACTTACCTTATCAACTGCAGCCATTTTCTCTTTTCTTTCTCGTCACAGGGAAAGCGGTAGAATGACAGTTGAATGTCACTTGTTTTTTTTAACTCCGATCTATTTAAACAACATGGGACACAGCACTGCGGCATGTTAAAACTCGGGCAAAAGCGGTAAGCAGATAGAGAGGACCCAGCATTTGGACCCGGAAACAGTATTATCAGAGTGTGATTACGTCACGACTTAACAACCGAATAAAACGGCCACGACGCCGTAGCAGTGACCGCTACGCCGTGGAGTTGACGCAGAAGCATAATGAGGCCTTTAGTTTGCTATGAGCGAGAGATGGAGAGGAGGAGCGCTAGAGTAAAACCCTGCCCTCTGTTCAATATTCCGTTTCACTTGGAAATACGTCACAGCACTGGAGAAAAATCGTTTGCAACTTCCGGTCCACGGGGACTTTAAATCTTTTGAATTGAATCACTGAAGCGGTTCACCAAAAGATCTGTTCACTGATTCATTCAGTGTTCTATATGCCAGTAGGTGGCGTTATGACTCGTTATGGCTCGTTTCCACTGAGGGGCACGGTACGGTACAGTACAGTACGGGTCGGGTACACCAATCAGGCTTAAGGCCAATTTATACTTCTGCGTAGGGTGCGCGCAGTAGGTACGGCGTAGCATACGCACAGACGCGTCCCATGCCGCGTACCCTTCGCCGTCGCCTGACGCGCACCTCTTCAAAAATGTAACTACACGTCGCGACGACGCGGACCGCAAGATCGGTGATTGGTCGGCTTGGTAGCATTGCATTTCCTCCTACGCATTTCCGCACGTACCTTCTCACGCATTTCCACCACTGTCTATGATTTCCACACGTACCATCTCCTCCGACATCTTCTCTCGTTTCTGCCTTTCACTTTTAGTAATTTCACTAAAGTGAACTGTTTTTCCACCTCAATAAGCTCCAACTCCAACATGATCAGCTCTCTTTCAATCGCTATTGCTTGTAGTAACCTAGCCGCGAGGAATCTAAACACAGTGGAACATTAAAACCCTCCGCCGCCAACTAGCGTTTCGGAGCAGTACTGCAGAGCAGCCAAGACCTGAACGCAGAAGTATAAATGCTCACAACGGCGTCGCCTACGTGCGTAGCCAACGCCGTACACTTCGGCGTACCCTCGACGCAGAAGTATAAATTGGCCTTTACGTTTCCACCGCCAACAGTACCCTTGAGGTGCGCGTCAGTTAAGGCCAATTTATACTTCTGCGTAGGGTGCGCGCAGTAGGTACGGCGTAGCATACGCACAGACGCGTCCCATACCGCGTACCCTTCCGCGTTGCCTGACGCGCACCTCTTCAAAAATGTAACTACACGTCGCGACGATGCGGACCGCAAGATCGGTGATTGGTCGGCTTGGTAGCATCGCATTTCCTCCTACGCATTTCCGCACGTACCTTCTCACGCATTTCCACACGTACCATCTCCTCCGACGTCTTCTGTCATTTCTGCATTTCAGTTTTAGTAATTTCACTAAAATGAACTGTTTTTCCACCCCAATAAGCTCCAACTCCAACATGATCCACTCTCTTTCAGTCGCTATTGCTTGTAGTAACCTAGCCGTGAGGAATCTAAACACAGTGGAACATTAAAACCCTCCGCCGCCAACTAGTGTTTCGGAGCAGTACTGCAGAGCAACCAAGACCTGAACGCAGAAGTATAAATGCTCACGACGGCGTCGCCTACGTGCGAAGCCAACGCCGTACACTACGGCGTACCCTCGACGCAGAAGTATAAATTGGCCTTTACGGTGAAGGGTACGCGTCAGGTTAAGGCCAATTTATACTTCTGCGTCGAGGGTACGCCGTAATGTGCGGCGTTGGCTACGCACGTAGGCGACGCCGTTATGAGCATTTATACTTCTGCGTTCAGGTCTTGGTTGCTCTGCAGTACTGCTCCGAAACACTAGTTGGCGGCGGAGAGTTTTAATGTTCCACTGTGTTTAGATTCCTCGCGGCTAGGTTACTACAAGCAATAGCGATTGAAAGAGAGTGGATCATGTTGGAGTTGGAGCTTATTGAGGTGGAAAAACAGTTCACTTTAGTGAAATTACTAAAACTGAAAGGCAGAAATGAGAGAAGATGTCGGAGGAGATGGTACGTGTGGAAATGCGTGAGAAGGTACGTGCGGAAATGCGTAGGAGGAAATGCGATGCTACCAAGCCGACCAATCACCGATCTTGCGGTCTGCGTCGTCGCGACGTGTAGTTACATTTTTGAAGAGGTGCGCGTCAGGCAACGCGGAAGGGTACGCGGTATGGGACGCGTCTGTGCGTATGCTACGCCGTACCTACTGCGCGCACCCTACGCAGAAGTATAAATTGGCCTTTACGGTGAAGGGTACGCGTCTGTGCGTATGCTACGCCGTACCTACTGCGCGCACCCGACGCAGAAGTATAAATTGGCCTTTAACGGCGTGGTATTATGGAAAGAAGCGATCGACGTCATTTTCGCGCGAAGAAAGCGACATAGTGAACAACAATGGATGACAGACAGCATCTTGTTCTTGCTTCTCGGCATGTTTGTCACTAGCAACAAGCGCTGGCATTAGGCGTTTCCAAGAAGCCAAAGCAAAGTCCGACTCAGGAGAATGATCCCGAGGACGCGAGTCCAGTGATTCTGTTAATGGAACAGCGCGTTCTTGAACGCGGCACTCATGTTCATTTTAGGCAATAAAACGAAATAGGTTAAACAACACTCTGCTTCTTTTCGATTCATGTCAATACATTTTAAACATTCAAAAGCACACATGTGGTTCAGGCAAAGCATATCCTATTGATTATATTCACTGCATGTAGCCTATGTAACGTTATTTATAAAAAAAACTAAATATAAAACAACCCTGACTCTTTTCGTTTAAATTTAAAAATATTAAACATATTCCATGCAATATGTAATGCAATGTATTGCATATCGCATTGGTACAAATGTTGCAATAAACAACATCACAGATGATAAAATAAAAAAAAGACAAAACTTTTTGTTGAATTTCAGTTTTATCAATAATAGCCATTATAGAAGTATAAGTAAAGGTACAAAAAGATATTCAGTAAAGCTTAAATAACATCAAGAAAAAATTCAGTCAGTCAAATATAGAAATTCAGCGCTCAAAGATATAAAACTTCACGTAGCCTTCTGCCAAAACTATTCGCCAGGGAACGAATTATATTCACGAGACCAAAGATCGTTATATTTATAACAAAACTAAATATAAAACCCTGCCTCTTTTTGTTTAAATTTAAAAATATTAAACATATGTAATGTAATGTATTGCATATCGCATTGGTACAAATGTTGCAAACATTACAGATGATCTTGTAATAAAATAAAAAAAAAAATGACAAAACTATCTCTTTTTGTTGAATTTCAGTTTTATCAATAATAGCCATTATAAAAGTAAGTAAAAGGTAAAATACAGTAAAGCTTAAATAATATCAAGAAACAATGAATTCAGTCAGTAAAATATAGGACAAATTCAGCGCTCAAAGATATGAAACTTCACGTAGCCTTCTGCAAAAAATATTGGCCAGGAAACGAATTATTCACGAGACCAAAGATCACATTCACAACTTTTGACAGTGGAAACCCAATTGCGTACCGAACCGAACTGTACCGTACCGTACCACTCAGGCCCCGTCCACACTACTGCGTTTTCGTTTAAAAACTGAGAATTAAAACGAAAACGATCTCCGTCCACACTAGCGTTTTACCTGCGTATTACAATTTATCTCCGGCCACACTAAAACGACTGAAAACGTGGATCACGTGACCATTCACCAACACTGGGCATGCGCGCGCCGGTGTAAACAGTGGTTGGCGAATCAGGGAAAGATACATGACTGATGACACCCAATCATAGAGCCGAGCGTGAGCCTCTGCGTCATCGTTTGTAAACTCCTCCGTTTTGTCTCGTCCACACTAAAACGCCCTCCGGAGATTCAAAACGCAAAACGCAGCTGCAGCGAAACTTCTCCGTTTTAGGTCTTCGTTTTTCCCGTTTTAGTGTGGACGGGAGGTGCAAACGTAGCAAAAGGTCTCCGTTTTTAAACGAAAACGCAGTAGTGTGGACGGGGCCTCAGTGGAAACGAGCCATAAAACCCCTGCACCCCTGAAAACTCCTGCACCCCAGCTTTAGTCTAATTAATCAATCAATCGACAGACAAACAGACGGATTAGACAGATGATTTGAATACATTTAATAAATGTAAGGGGAAAAAACTGAACGATTCAAATACTTTCTTTCATTTTTTTATAAATTAAATGGGGTGTTTTCTTTCAGTTGCCTACGTACAACCCAACCAATTAAATGCGTTTTAACTGCGGGGCGGGCTGTTAAAACGCATTTAAAGGGATAGTTCACTTTGAAATTAATTTTTGATATGTTTTAGCTCACCTCAAATGCATCCAAGATGTTAGGTGTCTTTGTGTCCACAGTATTTTCAATTTTGATATGTTTAGGTCAAACCGTTCATGTCTATCAGTCATACAATGGAGGTCTATGGGGTCCACCTCAAAGAGCATGCACAGAGAAGTCCAAATTAAACATGATTCAATGACTCGTAAATGTAAATACACATTGATGGTCTGTTTCCCAACCCTGTTACTGGCGGCACACCAACACTGCGTGTATTCTTTGTCTCCCTTATCAAACACACCTGATTCAACTCATCAGTTCATAATCAGATGGGTTAATGAGCTGATGAGTTGAATCAGGTGTGTTTTAGGGAGACACGAATACACGCAGTGTTGGTGTGCCGCCAAGAACATGGTTGGGAAACACTGGAATACACGAAACGAGTGGTTTGTGTGAGAAAATGAACTGTATTTATATCGTTTTTACCTCTTGAACCACAGCCACAAAGCGCCCACGCCCTGAGATAACTTGGACGTGGCTGTGATTACAAGAGGTAAAATCTATATAAATACTGTTCGTTTTTTCACACAAACCGCTTGCTTCATGTCTTAGGCCATCAATGTGTTTACATATACGAGTCATTGAATCATGTTTAATTTGGACTTCTCTGTGCTTGCTTTTTGAGGTGGCAAAGAGCAACGGTTTGACCTAAAAATATAAAAATTAAAACTACTGCGGAAACAAAAACACCTATATCTTGGATGCCCTTGAGGTAAGCTAAAACATACCAACAATTAATTTCAAAGTGAACTATCCCTTTAATGGGTTCGCATTTAATAGGACGAACCATGGTCTCAGCGAAATGGGTGCATCAAAATCTGTCTATGATCAAAATGAACGATTCACTCAATTAGAAGATTTGCTCAAAAACACGATTCCATGTCATGAAAGATATAGCGTTTTGTCAAAAATACACGTTTCCCATATTGTAGAATTCCAATGCTACATTTAATGGCATGCACACGTCATTAAAAAAATTACATGCAAGTTACATGTATTAAAAAATGCATTTATTTGGTAGAGGAGATGTAACTAGATTTAAGGGAAACTTTAAAGGTTGCAATAAATTTCTAGTGATAGTATTCCGACTCTCTCTACCTTTCAAATGTGCATAAGCTGTTTTATAAAACTAATGGCTTCATGAACAATCAAACAAAGCAAGAACTGGTCAGACCTGATTGACATGAATTCTGCTTTACGAGTCCACCCCTGTCCCAACTCTGTTCCCTCTAAAGAAGGAATAACTCTGGCACAATTACCTCGTGTTTTGCTGTAGCTAGCTATATTTGCATGAAACGACTTTAAATGAATGTATGTATGTTTGTATGTGTGTGTGTGTGTGTGTATACAGGGGTAAAGTGGGCTGGCACCTCAGAAAAATCAATAGATGCTTGGTGATAGCGCGATGGTAGGCTATGAAAAAATTTTTATGTTGGAAAGCCTACACCGTCAAATTGCAGCCAGACAGGTGCCAGACAGGTCAAATCAAAGCGCAATCACCCCCTGGACCCGCTATCACAAACACGCTTCCCGACACTATGTTCTCATTAACGGTTCTCCTGTCTGATTTGAGTGCATCTACGATTCAACCATGCATGTTCTATATTCGCTGGACATTTGTTTTCCCTTTCCACTTTAGTCTTATAGCCATAGGCTATCATTAAAGCAGGATTCTTTTTTAACATTATGTAGGCCTAACCATTGTATGACTTCAAATATTTATTCAAAATCGCCTTGTGCTTTAATGCTGCATGTATGAATGAATGCTTGACGCAATTCACACATCACATGGCATGATGCCGAAGAAAACGCCTGCCAATTACACCAACTGAGGTAAACGTAGCCTGCAAATTGACTTGTCTCAGAAAAATGATTCATGAAACACAATTATCAGTTGAGCCTATGTTTAATGTATTCACTGACAAAGACGAAAATGAAAAGATTATCACTCAAAGTTCAGATTTAGGAGGGGAAGAAATAGGTCAGGGTAAAGACACTGAGAGAAAAAGAAACATGGAGATGAGAGAGCAGGTATTGACAAACCAATCTGATGCCCACTGACATGGTTTTAAAGCCATTTCTTATTAATTTGTTGGCCTTCAAAAGTCATAAAATGCACATGTAGGTCTGAGAAATCCAAAAACAAGGTTGTGTGCCATGTGGTGTTCAGCAATTTTAACATATTATTGTCATTGTATTAGTGTAGATGTATAAAAATAAAACCATTAAAACAACAAGTAAATAAGTATTGTGATAGTTGGTGCCACAGTGACTTGTCCCAAAAAGTATTGCTATTAGGGTTGGGTATCGTTTGAATTTGAACGATTCTGATTCCGATTCCTTGTTTCGATTCCGGTTCCTTACGATTCTCGATTCCGATTCTTTTAAGAGGCAGGGTCAAAAAAGTTTAGCTAACCTTGCTAACCAACGGCCTTTCTGAAGGAAATACTCCTTCTGTAAAAATACTCCTTTTGTCACTAATTTAGCATTTTGCCGAGATTTCGTTATTTTTAGAAAAGTGAAGCCACACTTTGGATCGCCGACGTAAGGTACTCATGTTCGACTCGCGTGGTTATGCCAACACTTCCGGTAGACGCTTCTTCGTTGGTGTTGTTCGCGGTTTCTTCTTCCGCTCGGCGGACTGTGAATATCGAAACTAGGAATCGAAATTTTTACTTTTGAACGATTCCGGGAAAAACGAAAAGTTAGTCTCGGTCAATCGATACTCGATTCTCGATACCCAACCCTAATTGCTATACCACAATACTGTTGTCATACAGCGAGTCATTTCTTCCGTTGCACCAAAACACTTATTTACAAATATCTACAGTCATAAAATGAATAAATAAATATATTTGCATGATGCTCTTCAGTATCTTACAATTTATATTTGCCGAAACACATTTTTGGAATAGGTTTTATAAAACCTCAATCCGAATAAATTTGTGTTCGTTTTCAACATTTCAAAAATGAATTTCCATAACTTCTCCCAATGATCCTTTGAAAAACTTGTCCCAAACCTCTAAAAATTAAAGCTGGTCACAGTATAACATGCATAAGCACACCAACATTCTCGTGTGAAATTGCGTTCCTTTATAATTGCAGCTTTTAATGAAAACATTTAAGAGCAAATTATCAAACTAAAGACTATGAATAAATAGGAATTTCAAAGACAAATTAATTCAGCAAACATGGTGTTAAAAGGAAACCACACTTAAAAACCTGTGGTGTTTCACATTAAAGTCTTTCTGCTGTCACCTTCCAAAGTTCCTGCAGAGAAGCAGAAATACATTTAGACACTGTTAATCAGAACACAATTTACTACAAGCATGAACAGCTCCCTCTAATGGCACAAATGGTCAACCACCATTGTTTTTATTGTGCTTTATAGATAAAATGATTGATTGATACTACTGTATACGATACATATTTAAAAACAAACAAACAATTGAATTATTTCTAATTATAAATACAGATAAGTGCTTCTCACCAGCTGGTCCACCCTTTCATATTGAAAGAACTGTGAAAAAGAGATCTTCACAGGCTCAACCGTGAAATTCATCTTTCCATCTGTCATCTGCTGTAACTGGTTTAGGCAGTGACGGAAGTGATCATAAGCTTCACAAGCCACGTCCATATGTCGAAGAGTGAAGTTCAATCTGAACACAGAAATACAGTTCAAAATACAGAAACCATTCAAAATGGAACAAGAGGTCTAGTTTTTTCTTGGTTAGCATGGTCCTGTTAGCCACTGCTGATAAATGCCATAAATACACCAATCTGGAGGCAAAATCATCTTTCTCCATTGGATGACCATGTAAACTGACTAAATAATAAATATCAAATATTTCATTAAAACAGAACAATTAGTATACTTTAGGAAAATCATCTATTTATTTTATTATGTAGTCATTATTTTATTTAAAAGTACCATACTTTAAGCTAAATGATTTACCTAATGTATAATAATAATTATGTACTGATTCTTTTATTTAAATTTAATTTATTACTGCTGACAGTTACAATGATGAATGTGAATGGAAAAAATGTCTTGGCAACAGGCCATTCTAACCTCTTTTCTATGGAGATGTAGGATGTGCTGGGGTGCCGCATGTTGCTGGAAAGTCTATATAGTATTCTGAACAGAGCGTCTGTAAGATCATCATCATAGCACACTGAAGGGGAAGTACAAAACATTTTTAAAAATAACACATTTCCATCCATCAATCAGGCTTTTCATGCTCACTGAGAGCATCTTCAGTAATTCATTCAGTACGTTAATACTTTCTCCAGTTTGTAGTAAGCTAATGAATTCATTGTATAATTATGAAAAGCACTCCTTGCAAATGTACCATCTGCTGCGATCAAAACCGTGGTATTATCATGCAAGTCTGCTACTTCTGCGTCAGTCCAGCAGAACTCCAAATCAGCATCTGGGGAGAGTTGAAACATGAGGTGAAATGAGATGCCAACCACATGTTGACTTTCAGAAGTCCTATTTCACAAGTCAGCATCACTGGTATTAAGAGTGTGAGAAAGCCCTGTGAATTATACTGTGTCAACCGCCCATAGATAGCCTTATACTTCCCACTTAGAAATGGATTCTACAGAAAGTGAGGAGACTGCACAGCTCTAATAGATATGTCTGGTCAGGTTACAATTGCGCTCTGGCTCTGATCCACACCCATTAGCATCTCACACTAGCCTGGTAATACCAAACTCTGCTACTTCGCTTTGCTTCGTAGACAGAGTCATTGAAAAGTGTTTTCTTTCTCGCGGGGGTCACTTTCTGAAGTATAAAATCATTGGTTACCCGTAAGCCAATCAACTTTCACGTACGTAGTCAGGCTAATCTCACACCTGATGTCCCTTGAATTCTTACCTGTGCAGAAATCATCTGCCATCCAGTCCAGCTGACGCACCTTTATTTTGCTCTCTGATGGATGTTTCGAAGGGAAATCAAGATGAAGGAAAGAAAAAGAGCAAATACAATTTTCTTCTTAAAAATTACACTTGAACTATTTATGGAAGCCACCTATACTAGGAGTGATGGTTTGAATAAAATGGCAGACCAATTGGATTACTTCAATGAGCTCATGTTTCATGTTTACACATATGATGATGTTGACATAAAGACATTAAAGGAGTAGTTCACTTTTAAAAAAAACTTTTGCTGATAATTTACTCACCCCCATGTCATTCAAGATGTCCATGTCTTTCTTTCTTCAGTCGAAAAGAAATTAAGGTTTTTGATGAAAACATTCAAGGATTTTCTCCATATAATGGACTTCAATGGGAACCAAACGGTTGAGGGTCCAAATGAGAGTTTCAGTGCAGCTTCAAAGGGCTTTAAACGACACCAGACGATGAATATGGGTCTTATCAAGCGAAACTATCGGCCATTTAAAAATGTTTAAACTCGTTCATCAAAATGAACAAATCTTTTTTCGAGTCATGACTCGAAGGGTCCTAGATAAGTCCCTTATTCATCGTCTGGTGTCGTTTAATGCCCTTTGAAGCTGCACTGAAACTCTCATTTGGACCTTGAACCGTTTGGTTCCCAATGAAGTCCATTATATGGAGAAAATCCTGGAATGTTTTCATCAAAAACCTTATTTTCTTTTCAACTGAAGACATCTTGGATGACATGGGGGTGAGTAAATTATCAGCAAAAGTAAAAAAAAAAAAAAAAAAAAAGTGAACTCCTTTAAGAATATTATGTGAATAAATTAGCTTTTTGACCGATCTGCATTTGCTGTGTGTGTTGCACAGTGTTACTTGTGCTAAGAACTGGCATGGTTTGTTTACACAATTACAGAGGCAAAAAAAAAAACAATAAAAAAAACGAGGAGCACATGGCACAAGCACTCTGCCAGAGGAAGTACTCCTTCCTTATGACACATCCACATGGAAAGCTGTCGTTAATGAGAGAACGCTGCTTGGAATCCTGATATGGTGTTAATATAATGCTTACCTTGGGGTTCAAAGTGCTGCTTGTTCAAAGTCACATTTCTCTGACACATGTTCAGGAGGTCTTCACCAACATCTGCAAAACACAAAGAGGCTTTCATTTAGTGAGCTAACAACCTTCATCCATAATAACAAGCTATTTATCTTCTGAAGCCAATCACAAAGCTAAAACGTTTTGAAATGTACTGACTAATTCACACAGTGGCGCAGTATGAAAGACTACTAAAAAGAAAGATGAGACTATTATACTAAATGAGACTGAAAAAGGAGAAAACGAATTAGTGTCTTATTATATAATGATAGTTACATTACACACTGATATGCTAACGTACCATTGGTGTAAATTTAAAAAGAGACAAAATAAAAAGGTTTAATAAAGACCAAATAAAAGTCAATATGTGGACATGAGTAAAAGAGTTATGTACATTACATACATTTCTATTTAGTGGCCAACAGGGATGCACAATATACAAGTTATATATCAGTCATCAGCCAATTTGAGAGATTTTTTTTAAACCTTATCAGCCTATATTGTATTGTATTTTCTATTACAATTGTGTTTTTTATTGTGCATGCTCTTTTCCCATATTTTTACATGTTGATTACCTTTGCCATCACCAAAAAGCCACTTAAAGGTCATTAAAACAAATTTGAATGAATGTATATATATATATATATATATATATATATATATATATATATATATACACATCATATATTAATATAAATATCAACAAAACAAAACACTGGTGCATGTAATTATAAGCAAATCTCAAAATGAATATAAATTTTTCATATTGTACATTTATTATGTTATAATGTAAATTTAAGAATTTATTTTTCACTTTAAGAGTTTTATTGAGTTTTATTCTGAATGGATACTGTCCATTGTACATGTCCAGGTGGATGCTGCACATTGGTGGTGGTTGAGGAGATCCCCCCCTTCTATGTGAAGCGCTTTGAGTGTCCAGAAAAAGCGCTATATAAATGTAACGAATTATTATTATTTTTATTATTACATTATATACAGTACTCAATATATATAGATTATATATATGTCTACTTCCAGCAGGATAATGCACCATGTCACAAAGCTTAAATCATTTCAAATTGGTTTCTTGAACATGACAATGAGTTTACTGTACTAAAATGGCCCCCACAGTCACCAGATATCAACCCAATAGAGCATCTTTGGGATGTGGTGGAACGGGAGCTTTGTGTCCTGGATGTGCATCCCACAAATCTCCATCAACTGCAAGATGCTATCCTATCAATATGGGCCAACATTTCTAAAGAATGCTTTTAGCACCTTGTTGAATCAATTCCACATAGAATGAAGGCAAAAGGGGGTCAAACACAGTATTAGTATGGTGTTCCTAATAATCCTTTAGGTGTGTATATAAAATATATATAACAGCCTTTAGCAAGGGAATTAACAGCATGAACAGTGCCTGATCCATCATTCTCTACTTTTGCTCATTTTAAAAATGCACTTTTTTATTTAAACAACTAAATCAATTCAATTACATCACCACCTGTGCAGTACACCGTTTTAGCCAGCATTGCCATGACAATGCTGGTCAGTCCCGTTCCAGCTCCAAGCTCAAGGACAGTAGCGCCTTTGAACATGCTTGCTTGTGCCAGGATGAAATCAGCCAATAGGAAAGCACCACGCCAGATCTGCAATGAAAAACAACAACTTTGAATAGTGCAGTAGAGTAGACATATTGTATAATTATTACCCATTCATCACTGTCCTCACCTGTTTCCCTACATCCTCCAGAGATGTCGCCATAGTATGCTCTGTTTAGAAAACATTTAAAGAGATGCAAAATGTCATACAATCTAACAAAACAATCCATTAAATCACATTAATCTCTAACGCAACCCTCACCAATCTTAATGATGTCATGGGCACCATCCTCCTCCTCAGAATCTTCATCCTGGTCGGTCAGCGTCACTGCAGATTGACTGAGGATAACGGGACATACTGCATCTCTGTTACAGGTGGGGTATCTGGGCCTTCTCACCACATCCAGGTCCCCATCTTCATCCCACTGAATGTTTGATGCATCAGAGTTCTCATGGACAGGTGAATCACAGCTTGAGTCCTTCCCATTGTAATCCCGCAGAATCCTAAACTTTGAAGTGAAGACTAGACATACAATTGCCAATCAATTTTTAGATAATACACAAAAGGTTTGAACACATAACTGGCTTAGAGCAGTCTCACCAGTCTCAGCTACAGCTACAAAGATCTGTTACAGTGTGAAGAGCTAATGAACTCTGGCTGTGGCAGACAGAATGGCAGAAGCCTTTTTGCACTGCGTAATAACCATGCATCCGTCATGGAGTCTGTCTGGTGGATTTGACTGGGCCATTGATCCAATACTAAGAAAAGAGTCTCTACATCATTTAGATGGATTTTTATCCATAGTAGTGAGAGAAAAAAAGACAAAGGTATTATTAAACTGATTTGTATGCGTTACCAAAGAGGCTGTAAATCTTTCTAGATTCACAAATTAAAGACACATAGTTTTTTAAAATTGATTAGGGCCATTTACAAGGTTAGTCAAGATTTCTTGAAACCAAACTGACTGAATTATTAAAAAAACAAAAACAAAAAAAAAAACATTGTTTTGGCCTTTAATGCTAACAACGTCAGCATTGTGTGACTACATGTAATGTCCCTCCGATATATAACGTTATCCTTGTTTTCGCATGGTCCGGTAGCTGTCTCTTTTTTTTTTTTTTGTAGCGACTCCGAAGTCCGAACGAAGTCTTTTGCATTTTACAGCGGGTGAATCTGTCGTCACTAGCGATGGTCATTTGAACCTTTCTGGATCTGCCATCGAATTGATACATTTGATTAGATCAAGTGCTGTGAGAAAAGGCAATAAATCTCCACCTCCAACATCCTCACACGCAATATAGCTTATACTAGCCGAGACTCCTTCTTTACGATCTCCCGCGGAAATCCACCAGTACCACTGGAATTAAAAACATTATTATAAGCTTATTGCTTTGAATCGAGCTATGGCAAGCAGATAGTTTTGAACACTGGCTGGTTATGCATTTTCTCAAATATGTATCTTGTATAATTTTTAACCAAAAAAAAAGCTACGGACTGCAGCTTTAAGTAGATTACTTGTTGATCCCAAACTTTTGAATGGCATGTATGCAATGCATAATTATATTATTATTGATTTTATTATCTGCATTTAGCATTGTTTTCCCTGCTGTTCACAATTAGAAATAACCTGCAACAAATTTTAGAGTCTGAGAGTCAAACATTTAAAATGGAGCTTTCTGGCTGATGGATTTCTCACAGCATGGCATGCATCTTATTATTCTAGAGCAGAACCATAAGGCTCGGTTAAACAGTGTCGGCTCCAGTCTAGCGTTGTAAAAGTCATCTCATATCTGCTGTACGAAATCAGGCTCTTTTTGGTTTTCTAAGAATAGTGATAGGTTGTATACAATATAATTTCGGGCTTCATTTGACCCTAGCTGCTTTGGTGAAGATAATGAATCTCAGCCTATGCAACTGCGCTCATGTTCACATTTGGAGTTTAAAGGCCAGAATAGGCCACCAAGTAATGCTGTTTATGCACAGTTTTTAAACCTCAAAATAAAAATAACAGAACCCTGCAGTGATAAATGTTAAGAGCTCTGGCATTATCAACCCCGAACACATTGGAAAAATACTTTGCGAAAACAATATTGCTGTGTTTATTCAGTTTGGCCACATTAGAAAATCCTAATTTATGCGTGTGTGTGATTAGAAGTCTGAATTGACTGCCTGCTGGTCATTCTTAAATTCATAGGCTAATAACTTTCTAAAGGTAAACCTGTGTGTATACAGGGAATGGTTAACAGTCAGTGCGTAAATACTTAAGGCACACATGGGAAACAAATAGACAGTGATCAAGGCTATTAACACAAAATATTACAATTGGTTAAGATAAACTCTCATGCATGTAATACAGAGCACTGAAATTATGTTATCTGTAATGGCAAAAATTAGTGCTAAGTGATGAAAGAAAACAAAAGAAAACATGGTGTAAAGGAAATAGGAATAGGCTCAGAATACTATAGCATACTAACATACACCTAAACACACAGTGTTTAGTGTGTATACTGTGCACAGTATGCATGAAATACCAGGAAGACCCACCACAAACCTGCAATTCATTTTTGGTTTGTGACCCTGCAGTTGAAAAACACTATGCAACTACTATGTAACACTATGAAACAGTACATCTCATTGGTTGACTAGAATATTGTTCCAGGGTCAACAAGAATGTTCTACTTGGTAAAATCGCATTCACCTGTGCACACTGACAGTAGTATGCATATAAAATATAGCACATGAAATACGTAGCTGGGAAGACCCACCACATTATCCTTTAGAAATCATTTGCTATATTATGCTGATTTGGTCATTATAAGTCATAAAATATAGCTGTCTTTAAGTCTTTGGATGAGGGTCCCTCAGACGAGGATGATCATATTTGGGAGATTGTGTAAAAAATGGACAATTCCCACAGTAGGTAATTAGTATACAATCAAAACATAGGCAATGTGATCCACAGATGTCTCCCAACTCTCCTTACCTGGCTGTCCTACGCCGTTGAGTCGCTTCATAAGATGGCAAGCGTTTGGCAACAGCAGGTGCACGTCAGACAGAACAGTGTCACTTCTAAATGTGACCTGGTCCATGACCGCCCCTGCATGGCACCCTATCAAGGTCGAACTCTCTGGGGAACAGGGCAATTTCAATCAAATACCTCATCATCCTTCTTGCATGCAGTCGGAGAGTTTATAAATCTGCAATTCTACACGAATGGAAAACTATTTTAAGACTATTTTCAGACAGTTCTACTCTAAAGGAGAACTTTTGATTTCACAGAGGTTTTGTTTAGGCTCGATTGAAAGCAATTATTCTTTTCTAAGTAGAAATATCTTAAAGTAGGCGTGACCATGAGTTCAAGAAATAAAAATCAACTTACTTTCTAACCGTTCCCTTAATTTTTTGGGGTTAACCAGGAAGCTAAACAGAGAGTAGTTAATATTTACCGATTAGTTGACGATGAGGAATTTACTAGTGCAGTCAAGTGCATTAGATTATACTAAAATATGAGCGTAATAATATGAAGATAGCGTAGATAAAGGTTATATTGCAGTTTAGAGCTTACGACGAGAGGTTAGATTTGCATTAGTGTTACATTAAAAGCAGACCGTGTGTGTAAACAACCTTCTAAAAACAGTTCCACAGCAGAACGCACTTGACACTTATAATGATACGAATTTAATTCAATTACTGCATGACTTCATATGTCAATTTCATTTTTATTAATATTATTTTATTATTTGGCACATTTATAATATGAAATATTTGTATTATTGTCAACACTTTTTTACAATGTTTATCTATTAGGCTATAATTAAATGTTGATTACATTGATATGATAATACTTGTTATTACGTTTATTATTCATATTATAAATGAATGATACGATACTTATGTAAAAATGCAATTATGCAATTACCCCAAAATTTACTTGTTTTTAATGTGTTGCAGTGTAATTATAGGATACATTTCAGTACTGAGTTATTATATCTATATTATGTACATATTATATACATATTATACTATCACTATTATGTCTAGAATAGGCTACATGTAACAAGGACACATTAAATGAAGGTGTTAGATTTTATTTTATTATTTGGCACATTTATGAACACACCGATTTGTTTTGTTTGAACTAAAATGACTACAACTAATATTAGTTTTCTGATCGTAAAATGACGAAGAGAAACCAGACTGGGCGACTGGACTCTGAAAGACTGAAAGACCAATCAATTAATTCAGAGATCCAAACAATACAACCTATAATACAAACAAAAAACGTTTTTGCATAATGGGGGAATTATGTTGCATTTACGTCTATATATCTAGCCTAATAATGTTTGTGGTGTTTAATAATCACCAGCGGTAGTATTTGCGCACTCGCGCGCCGCGCATCTGAAAGTGGAGCATACTGCCCTCTTTCAGTAAAATCACACTACAGCCTGTAGGCTATAGTAGTTAATGGATAAACGGCGCTGCATCCCAGATGGGTAGCAACGCTGAGGGAAAGGAACACTGTAGATTAGAAAGCTGTATTCAGACACAATGAAAATCACTTTCAAAGGCTTGGCCAGTTTTGTGGCCACCTTTTGTGTCCTCAGTTTTGTAGGGCTCGTTCTGGCAATTGGAACCGATTTTTGGTACATCATTGACACTTCTAAAAGAGAAAACAGCTCATCTTTGTCCCTGAGCTCACATTCTGGACTGTGGCGGACTTGTAACTGTAAGTCACATATTACATGTTGTGTGTTGTTCTGTTTGTGTGATTTTTAGGTTTTTATGTGGATAGATCGATGAAATCGTTCTCTCTTACAGTTAATAACCGGTGCTCGCCATTCATGAATCCTTTTGGAGCAGGAAGAAACTTATCAGATTCACAAAGGCAGATACTAAGTAAGATCTGTGTGTCATCATATCCTCGTATCATCCTCATATCTCATGATCTATGTGTCACTGATAAGTTTCACTCAGACAAAACCCAATTCTTTAAGTCATTAGTTTTTAGCGTTTCATGCTATGTAAGGGATACAAACAGTCTTCTTGTGGAAGTATGGTCTATAAAGTCGAAAACTCCTTGGTTTAGCTCTATACTGAGACTGTATGTTATTTATGTTTGCTGTATTCATGTATTCACTATTTGGTCATTTACAAGGATTTGATAAAGTAGCTACATGACATCAAATACAAATTTAGATTTATCATTCCTGCCTAACTGTTGTCTATAATAATAAAACTCATTTTACCTTAACATTATATTTAGCAGAAAGCCTAAAATAAGAACTGAAAATGCATTATATATATATATATATATATATATATATATATATATATTAGCCTATAATATAAAATGCCATTTAACATATTTTAGGTTCTTGTTCCTAATTGCTCTCAGTTTTTATAATATGAACTATTGTCATTCCGAGAAATATTGTATAGTTTGATGTATCTCAGTAGAACAAACCAGAAAACACTTTTCATTTAAAACTGGCAGAGGGGACTTGACATATCAACAGGAAGCCACGCATCTGTTAGCACTACAGAAACAGGTGCAAAATAGCTTTCTCACAGTAAAGCCTTTTCAAGATATTGTGACAATATGACTATGACAACATTTTATATTATTTTCATATTTTTTTTGGTTTCTTCCCCCCCCCTTGATTTAATTTTTTTAAAATGAAATTAAAAATTAAAAATTAAGTAATTCTGAACACATCTATGATAGTTGCACAACGTGGGCTGCATGCTACAGAACAGATGTTTTAAGGGCATTTTTATCTGCATCCCATCAAACAAATTCCTTTGATTGTCCTATTATCTTTGGATTGTCATGGAAACACTTTTCAATAAGAGGGCAGCTGTGGTAGAAACACAGCTGTAACAAGTGCACCATAGTGAACCATGGCATGTGTACTGCTAATATTGCGAGACCACCTGCCAACAGACCCTGCAACATTAGTTTCCTTTGTTTCCCTTTTTCTTTTTTTCACAGTCACAATACGTTTGTTGGCCATAACCTATAATTAATGTGCAACATCACTCAAAATTCATCTTTTAGTGCCAAACAATCACCAGCTATATATATATATATATATATATTGTTTTAAAATGAGCCAAATAATGTAGAATTGCAATTATTGCTGCTTTCAAAGTGTCTTAATATTTTGATAACTGTACAAAAGCCATTAAGAAGAAAAGTGAAAGATAAAGGAAATTGGAAAAATGTATCGAACCAAAAAAAGTCTTCTTATCCATCCCATACATCAGACACCATGAGCCATTCGAGGCACTTGTGTTGGACTGAATGAGATTTTAAATTAGCATGCTCTGTCGACACCTGAAACGTTATCTGTACCTGCCTCAAGAGAGTGCAATGAGGTTGTAAAAGCAAGATTTTGTCAGATTCAAGAGCCCTAAACTGGCTCAAATTGGATTTAGTTTCTGTTCTGCTTTGAACAATTGACTCAATAAGTCTGGGTTTTCAGGGTGTTGCTTTGATTAGATAGTAACCTCTGCTGCACAAAGCTAAATGCCTAAATCGCCTGAAAGATCATCTTTGGATAAACAGTGAAAGAAATACATTATTTATGTGTTGAACATCATCATGGACACCCTGATTATGGCTTGTGACAAAAATAATGCAGAATAATGTTGGTAATACAAACGAGAAACGAGAATGAAACACACCCGTCCAATTCAATCAGATCGACAATATTGTGCCTGCTCCAGAAAGATGGCTGGCTTGATTTAAATTGTAAATTGACAGTGTGATTTATTACTTGATTGTAAAGACAGATTCTCACTGTCTGTACTGCTTGTTGTGTTTATTTATAGCAAATGTCCAAACATATCAATATGGACCCAACAACTTAAAATAATTGGTAAATTGGGCTTTGCATTAACATTAGAAGTATATCCTTTGATGTCCATGTCCTTTGGTATTAAGCCATTAAAATTCGTATTCATCTTATTTCAGCACAATTGTTTTCAATAGTGATAATCATAATAATATTTTTTTAGAATTAGAATGATTTCTGAAGGATCATGTGACACTGAAGACTGGAGTTATGATGCTGAAAATTCAGCTTTGCATCACAAGAGCTAAATTATTTTTATTCAACTAGAATTTTTTTTTTAAATTGTAGTAATATTTCACAATATTACTGTATTTTAATGTTATTATATATATATATATATATATATATATATATATAGTACACTTTAAATGCAAAATTTCTTTATATTTTTTAGTTGCTATAAAAAATCTCTGTATTCAGTAAATAAAAATCATTTTTGTGTATTCATATAATTTATGTAAATGCACACACTGTTTTTTTTTTTAATAATGCCGGTCATGTTTGCCAGCAGAATATGAGACCTAAGAGTTTGAAGAGTTTTTTTATTTTATTTTTCATTGACCATTAAGATTATAGATGGTTCAGCATGTTTCAGCATGACTTCACCATGAACTGCAAAACGATACTAGCTTGTTGGGTCCATATTGATATGTTTGGACATTTGCTACAAATAAACACAACAGGCATTACAGAAAGTGAGAAGCTGTCATTTACAATCAAGTAAAAAATCACACTGTCAATTTACAATTTAAATCAAGCCAGCCATTATTATCTTTCTGGAGCAGACACAATATTGTCGATCTGATTGAATTGGACGAGTGTGTTTCATTCTCGTTTTACTTGTATTACCAACATTATTCTGCATTATTTTTGTCACAAGCCATAATCAGGGTGTCCATGATGATGTTCAACACATAATGTATTTCTTTCACTGTTTATCCAAAGATGATCTTTCAGGCGATTTAGGCATTTAGCTTTGTGCAGCAGAGGTTACTATCTAATCAAAGCAACACCCTGAAAACCCAGACTTATTGAGTCAATTGTTCAAAGCAGAACAGAAACTAAATCCAATTTGAGCCAGTTTAGGGCTCTTGAATCTGACAAAATCTTGCTTTTACAACCTCATTGCACTCTCTTGAGGCAGGTACAGATAACGTTTCAGGTGTCGACAGAGCATGCTAATTTAAAATCTCATTCAGTCCAACACAAGTGCCTCGAATGGCTCATGGTGTCTGATGTATGGGATGGATAAGAAGACTTTTTTTGGTTCGATATATTTTTCGAATTTCCTTTAACTTTCACTTTTCTTCTTAATGGCATTTGTGCAGTTATCAAAATATTAAGACACTTTGAAAGCGGCAATAATTGCAATTCTACATTATTTGGCTCATTTAAAAAAAAAAAAAAAATAGCAGGTGATTGTTTGGCATTAAAAAGATGAATTTTGAGTAATGTTGCACATTAATTTTAGGTTATGGCCAACAGACTATGAAAAAAAGGAAAACAAATGAAAATAATGTTGCAGGGTCTGTTGGCAAGACGATGGATAATTAAGGGAATAGTACAAAGTCTCAAGACAAGAGCTGAGCTTTGACCTCCCCAGCCTACACAAAGAAAGCCAAATAGCCACATTTACTCACCTGCATCTCCTAGGCTGGCTCCATCAGATTACTTTAATAATGATACTAATTCTTATTTCCAGGGCTGGGTCGCTCTTATTCTACATGTATACGTTGATTTGCGACGTCATATTTTTAATAGTCTGCTATCAAAACTGCAAAATGTTATAAAATGTGCCAGATGCTTAATGCATCTGGAAACTGTAGCACAACTGCAACTGCAAATGTCTCTCATCATGATCAACACAATGTGGAAAAAAACATCATTACATAAGCTCTTTTGAAATTATCCTGAATAGCTCTATTGATTTCCATTCAGAATGAATAAATAAAACATTTTCAAAAGCACAAATTTCTTCGCAAAAGTAGACAGATGAATTAAAAAGACATAATTGTAACAATTAGAAACACAATTCTATTGCTATGCCAACCATGGAATTTTTTCGGAAAGGTTTTCAAATTAGTCCAATAAGCATGACAAAGACCGGACCCACTAGTCAAAAGAATCTGCAAGAATTGGCTGGAATTGCGAGCATCCCCACTGACACATCCAGACCTTTTCTCTCTGCAGACATGCAAGCAACGTTCATCGTCCTGCTCCCTCTCAGCGTGATTGTATTATTTGTTGGAGGAATGTTGGGCTTCATTGGTATGTTGGCAAGAGCCTACCTGCTGCTGCTCCTGACTGGAGTGCTGCTTCTGTTCGGCGGTGAGTACGTAGGCCTACCAACTTCGCTTTCACCTCTGACCTCTGACTGAGCCACTTGCAGCATGAAGTCACGTTTGACAGAACATCTGGAGCTTCGGACACTTTTGATAGTAATGAATACCCAATGTCATAAAAACTGATGAAAAAAAAAGTACTATGAACAGTTGACATGGGGGACTGGAATTATCTTTGGAATTTGAGAGATAAGCTCAAAACACACACACACAATATTGTATCTTAAAAATACACAATTCTGAATGCAAAGAACAGCTGCTAAGAAGTTTTTGTTTTCATTTCACCTATACACCAACACCGTGCACCAGTGTTACTTTTTGTTTCATGTCAGTCATGTGTCATGTCTTTGTCATGTGATTCCCTGTTAGTCATGTGATCCTTCCATGTGTTCCCTTGTCTGATGTGTCATGTTTTCATTGTTTCATTGTTCAGTGGTGTCGCTTGTCTAGTCAGTAGTCTGTATATTTAAAGGGGAAATGAAGCAGTGAATCAAATTTACATGATTTACAAGATGGATTTTCAATATAATCAACAATTATATAAGAAACATTATAAATGTAAACATTTAGAAGAAAAAAATAAAAAACTTTGTATCTTTCGCCGCCAGGGCGCCGCCATTGTGCAGTTGACGTCACGGCAATTCAGGAATATGACGGCAGACATCGCGAACATTAGACGTCGTCTTTTTGTCTAATAACTGTACCTAACATTAGTCGTTCGCGGTAAAACACTGGTGTAAACATGTCGCGATTTTCAATGCCCAGAGCCTGTTAAACTTGAGCCAACCAACCCCGTGACGTCAACTGCACAATGGCGGCGCCCTGGCGGCGAAAGATACAAAGTTTTTTTTCTTTTTTTTTTCTAAATGTTTACATTTGTAATGTTTCTTATATAATTGTTGATTATATTGGACATCCATCTTATAAATCATGTAAACTTGATTCACTGCTTCATTTCCCCTTTAAGCCCTCATGTTTGCCATGTGTCTTGGTCAAGTATACACAAGTTTACGCACCAAATCCCGGGCGCAGCCATAACTCTACATAAATGCACTTTATTTCTGCCGGACGTGGTTTGCACAGCGTGGTGGAAACACAGCAACGGTTCCACTAATTTGACTGAAGGTGGCGTTACTATCCCCCACCCGAATTCCGTGCAGTTGAAAAAATTTTTTTCAACTCCCATCTATAGCAGAAGTGGCAAATGTTCTTTCTAGTAATATAAAGACCTTGAAATTTTGATTCATGCACTAATGTCCTCTCGATTGGACTACTGTAACTCTCTTCAAAGCCAATCCAAACACCGACTAAAACAGAGAGTTGTAGAAACTCTGTACGTTGGCCTACCTCAAACTACACTATCTCGGTTACAGATGGTTCAGAATTTCAGAAGCCAGATTGTTAACAGGAACTAAGAAAAGGGATCATATCTCCCGTTCTTGCCTGATTGCATTGACTACCAATTAGAATCGACTTTAAGATCCTTCTTTTTGCATACAAGGCACTACACAGTTCGGCCACACAGTATAAGATTATATTTGTGATCTTATTATGCTATACACAGCCTCTAGGTCACTATGATCTTGTGATCAGTTACTTTTATCTGTCCCTCGTTCTTCTCGTTGTAAATCAGAAGGTGATTGAGCTTTCTCTGTAGTCACCCTAAAGCTCTGGAACAGTTTACCTTTAACCATCAGGGCCTCTTCATCACTTGTTGCTTTTAAATCCAGTTTAAAGACCTATTTTTACTCTCTTGCGTTAAAGTGATGTTGTGTGTATTTTAAATTAGTTAGTTGCTGTTTTAAGTTATATACACTGAATGATTTGATACTTGATTTTTATCTCATTTTTTTCTACTCATTTTCTCTTTATTTTATTTTATTGTATTTTTATTGATTTATTTGATTGCACTGTAAAGCACTTTGGATCAACTATGGTTGTGTTAAGCTTGTGCTCTATAAATAAAATTTGACTTGACCATAGTTTCACAAAGAGCTCAATAGAATACACAGGATTACTGCATTCTGTTTAAAAGCTTAAAGCTTGAATTTATATTTATATAGAAGCCTATTCTAGTAATGCTCACAACAGACCTGATTTTACTCAATGTTATATTTTAAATGCTGGTGTTTGTTAGTCCAGTTTTATTTGTGCAGGTCACCGTGTTTTTCACTGTTCTTTTTATGATATAACTTTGAGCACTTACAATGGAATACATTTCTTTTTGGGCCCATTAACTTCATGAATATTACTATACCTACCCACATCATTTGTGAGAAAATACAGGTTCACTTGAAATCTCTCTCAGGATGAAAGACGTTCTTTTTCAAGACTTGCTGGGTATGACAGTAAAAAGGAATTGCATTTTGGACGCCATGGCAACAACTAAACCCAACACGGACAACATGTTCTTAATCAGACTGACATCAGAACATTGAATCATTGTAAAGTATATGCCCCAAAATGTCATCCGATTAGATAACAGCCATTAAATGACTCAATTCCTTGGAGCCTCTTCTTTAAATTACCTGAAGGAACTGATTGTAGAGTTTCTCAAAAGTTGTGTTTGTTTGAAAGATTTGTTTAATTATGGCACATAATTCACTTCATAGTATTTATGGCATGGTCTTCTGAATGTTACGCTGCAAATTCAATGTGTGTGTGTTGCGCTGTCTGTTCAGTCGCTCACGGCTCAAGTTCTATATTGATATTTAATAATTTTAATATAGGCCTATTTTCTCTCAAATCTTACTTGAATTAAAAGTGTGGTTATTATATGTTATTATTTTTTTTATTTAAGATTCATTCAATTATTGAATTTAAAGGAGCTGCAATATATTGATTTCAATTAATCATACGTTTTCCCTGATATGTCACTAGACATTAAGAAATCATTTCAAATACTTTGAAATGTCTGGCCAGACATTTGGCCAGGATATTGTCATTTAAAAAGTGAAGTTGCAGCCCTCAACTGATGTTGATGTTGTCATGTTGTGTTTGTTTTGATGCGTCACCCTCCAATGATCTACCAATCATGGAGAATACACCGCTCTACAGCAATTTAAAAGTGATTGTAGTTCCAGTTTTGGGCACATCTTGCATACGGCTCCTTTAATAAAAAAATTAATTTTACAATTATACAAAAATAATTTACAACGAGAAATTAATAATAATAAAAACACTTTTAAAATGTATTTGCCATGCATCCAGAATTTTCAGTTTCGCCCCAGAATTTTCACTTTGGTATGCTTACATTTACATTTACTCATTTAGCTGATGCTTTTATCCAAAGCGACTTACAATTGCTATATATGTCAGAAGTTTGAACGCCTCTGGGGTTAAGTGTCTTGCTCAGGGACACATTGGTGTCTCACAGTGGATTCGAACCGAGGTCTCTCACACAAAAGGCATGTGTCTCAGCCATCACCACCAGTGGTTAAAGTGGGATTTGGTAGGTGGGGGAACCCTCAAATTTTGTGTAGGTGCAACTGGGGAAAAATTTCTCACCTCGGGACAACATATTGAGTACCGTAGTATAGCAATTACAGTATTTGTAGGGTATTTACAGACATGTGCATTAAAATAAGAGATATTTAGGGGAGACAGGGGGATGCTCCCCAGAGAAAATTGTTATTTCTCTGACCTATATATAAGGCAATTCTTGGTCTGCTGGCAAGCTATATGTGGTCATCATATCATACTGAAAAGTAATGGGTGACACTCTTTGCGTTCTCAGGACTTCTTTATGCTCTCTGTGCCAAAGGCCCGTACGGAAACGGGAAAGAATGCATTTCTGTATTCATCACCTTCATCATGGAATACTTTGCAGAAGGATCTGAAACTCATTGAATTAATCTCACTAAATGCATTAAAATCCAAAATAAAAGATTTAGAGGCAGATGCCTTAATATGTAAATACTCTGGTACTCTGTACCAATGTGTTTTGTACTGCTGTCTGTCTTGGCCAGGCCACCCTTGCAAAAGAGGTTCTTAATCTCAATGGGACTCTCCTGGTTAAATAAAGGTTTAATAATAATTTAAAAATCTGTATCCGCAGATTTGGCATGACACAAGGAATCCATAGATACCATATTTCCGACAAACTGTTCAAAACCTATTGGCCAAAATAGCCATCTTTCATATCTCATGACCCATAGGTGGCATTGTTCCCAACTTTGGCATGGACCCTCAGATCATGGTTCCGATGAAGCATTTCATTTCGGTTGCTCAAAGTTTGGCTGAGCTAAAGCTTCTAAACCAATTTTGGGTCGACCTTGTTAAGTTTGCAACACAACTTTTTTTTTTTTTGTCATGAAATTCTGTTCAGACTCATTTCTCTGCAGCTCAAGATAATTTGAGCAAATGTTTGAACAAAATTGGACATATTTTGAAGGAGGAGCAGCAAAAAGATTGATTGTGATCACCATGATGAGTGAAATCAGGTGGACTAAGTTTCATTTTTCCAGATAAGGTTTCAAAAGTTATAACCATTTCAATGTTGAATTTTTGAACTGGTGGTGGTGCTATAGAGTTTGTCTTAGAGTCCAATTAGGGGCCAAGCACCGAAGGTGCGGAGGCACCTATTGTATCTGTGCCGGTTCTTATTATTATTATTATTATTATTATTCTTCTTCCGACTGGGCCTCTATGGCAGCCCATAGACCGGTTTGCGGGAAAGTTGTTTTGGTTTGACATTCTGATAGAGGACAGTCCCAACTTTAAATACACCAATTTTGGTGTCTCTAACTCATTCCCTCTAGCGCCACCAACTGTCCAAAGTTTCACTTTTATTATGCTAATAACTTTTGAACCGTAAGACCTATCAACAAAATTCTTTTTTCCTCTTATTCCTGAGCTCATGCCGATTCGATCGCACCCTATGACGTCATTTTCCGTCATAAAAACATGGCCGCCATTTTGAATTTTCCAAAAAACGTACTTTTGCGAACTCGTCCTAGACCGTTTGTCCGATTTTCACCAAAATCGCACCGGATCATCTCCAGGCAGTGCTGACAAAAAGTTATGGAATTCAAGATAATTCGAATAACCGTTTTCGATAAACACACAAACTAATTTTACGTAACGCTTGCGAAAACAGACGTAAGGCTTTATCTCCGCAACGCTTCATCCTATTCAGACCAAACTTGGTACATGTAATCACAAGCATGACCTGAGGCTACATGCAGCGTTTCGGCGCAGCGCCACCTAGTGGTCCGGAGATATGAAAAATGGCTATTTTTGCTCGTAACTTCTGAACGGTTTGTCCAAAAATCATAAACTTCATCTCGTTAGATTCAGGGCATCATGCCGAGTCGACTGATATCCAATTTTCCCAGATCGGCCATTTTGGCTGTCGGCCATTTTGAATTATGTGCTAAAATGCTGTATTTTTTTGAACGCATGAACGAATTGTTACGAAACTCGGTATGGGTCATCAGTACGATGCCCTGAAGAAGCCTGAGAAGTTTCGAAACAGCGCCACCTAGTGGTGAATTGTTTTATTCAAACGCTTATAACTTTGGGTGTGGTACACTTATTTTCACGGGAGTCATATTTTGAGGTCCTGAATCGTTGCCGAGTCCAACGATACCAAATATGTCGGGTTTCGTCTCACGGATGGCGTAGCGTAGCGATTTAGCGCGAAAAAAAACACTTGGCGATATCTTCAAAACCGCTGTTCCGATCGAGACGAAACCACCGTCAGAAACACGGAATCATAGCTTGTTAACTATACGCTAATGCCCAAATGCAAAATATTGATAGTAAGGGTAGTAAAATTCAAACAAAGTCATGTGTCAGTCATTTTTTACATGTTTTTTCATATAAATGTTTATAACTCGGAAGCGAATTGAGATATTTTCACCAAAATTGACACACATATGTATGGGGTCACTCTGAGGACACACACAAAAAATTGTGGGACTGAGCCTCTTGGTGGCGCTATAATAGAACAAAACTTGAAATTCCCATTGACTTCAATACAGTTTTGTGAAATACAATGCTATACTAAATAAATCCTTTGGTATAACATTACGAAACTCAGTGTGTGCCATAAGCAGCATGCCCTGAAGGTACTCAAAAGATTTTGAGACAGCGCCACCTGTTGGTCAAAAGTTATAATTAATTTCTGAGAACGCTAATAACTTTTGAATAAATTTGCCTATTGCAATGAAACTGATCTTAATAGATTCCTTGGGTTATGCCAAAAACAGATATCAGGTTTTCCATAATCAGACAAACTTCCTGTTCGCCATCTTTATTTCTTTGAAAAACCTTCTTTTTCGAACTCCTCCTAGACCGTTTGTCCGATTTTCACGAAAATTGAATGGTATCATCTCCAGACCGTGCCGACTAAAAGTTATGAATTGCACGATGATAGACAAAACCGTTTTCGTATAACACAACATCAAAGTTTAGGCATGCTGCCAAAATTACTATTTAGGCTTTATCTCTGCAATGCCTTCACATTTTGACACCAAACTGTGCATGTGTCATTGTCACCTCACTCTGACCACATCACATCTATTTCGTAACTGCGCCACCTATTGTTCGAAAGTGATAACCCATTAAATCATCTTATAAGTTAATGTTTATGTGATTTTCTTAGCCATTTGCCCAAAGTTCTCTCAAAATGCCCTTAATTGCTCCTTGCTGCAGTTGGTCTGCCACTCCTTGCCATTTTGGCATATGTTGCCGCTTATTGCGCTTGGCCCCGGTAATGGCTGCTTGCAGCTATATTTACTATTTATTACTATCACTACAAGTGTGCCAAATTGCATCATTTTCCTACAGTATGTTCCATTGATAGGGCTGCCATTGACTCCTATTCTGGAAAAAATAAAAAAGATAACTACAATGGGGCTATCCCCTTTGGGGCTTGGACTCTAATAATGGGATGTGAATTATGTACAGTACAATGTATTAATTTAGTGATAATGGTTTACTAGCACCTAAGACTGTCTTAGAAAATGTCTTTCTCCTGCTCTGTCCCTTACAGCTTTGCTCTCATTGGCTGGAATCTGTGTCTACATGGCACACTCTCAGGCCGCCTTCAAAGAAGCTGTGGGTATCTCTGGCCACAAATCCCTGGAGGACATAGAGATTTACTTTGGCTGGTCTCTCGTCCTGGCCTCTGTTTCTTTTGTTGGACAACTCTGTACTGCCATGGCATTCCTACTTGCCTCAGCCAGAGTGAGCCAGCTGACCAATCAAGAAGAAGATGAATAATAATCTGAATGACATTAAACACTGAAAATGAATTCGATGTTTACATTTTCATATTTTTAATGGGAAAAATGACATTTTCGGTCGTAATAGAGGGTCAATATTTGAGGTTTGTGAACTTTGTCAAATATAAGTTGTAATAAGTTGAATTTAAGTTGAAATGACTTAATATTCAAATTTGATTGTCCTATACTAAATTTAAAACATAATAAATTATTTTTATGTTTTAATTTGAACAATTTAGTATTGGCATTTCTGTCACAAACATAATAAAAAAAACTCCCAGAGGAACCCCTACTGTATATAAAAAAGTTGCTGCCTTACATTAAGGACAAAATTGAAATATCCTCAAGTAAATAATTTAGAGGGTTCAGCAGACAAAAATAAATAAATAAAGGGAATCCTTGATGTTTTAGAAACACATTTGTCAACCATTGCAACTGAATATTTAAAGCTTGCATTTGCTTATTGCTTTAGTTATTAATGTTCATTTTGTTTATTTAGTAGTCTTGAGTATCTGTCATTTTTACAAATCACAATAAAAGGTCAGTTTTGATTCTTTACTTTGTCATTTTATAGGGATTTGTGTATTTAGAATTTGTCCAGTGGATAAAAGTTCTTGCTTCACAGTCAACATGAACCATTAATATTTTATATTAATATTTGTTGTATTTTCCGAGAGAGGCGGTGCCCTCTGATTTAATTCATGCCATTTTATAGCAACACCCATGTTGATGTAGAATGCTTATTTAAAAAAAGCAGCCAGTAATTGTAAATACATTCCTTGTTAATAATTACTACCAATTTGACAATGACAATCAGACCTTGACAATCAGACCTTGTTACATGAATCTATCTAGCTGAATAAATATTCACAGTTATAAAGGTATTATGTTCATACAAGACTAAAATCTTGAATCTCCTCAGATCAGGAAGTTAAAGCAGATGCCTCAGATGGCTGGATCTGCCCTTCACAGATTATCTTGTTATAAAATCATTTTGTAAATGGACGACAGACACAAAGGTTTGTGGCATTATTTTGGAAATTACACTGCAATTTTGCAAAATACAACAGCCTTGCTGCATCTGTCTGACTGATTTCCACAATTACTGATTTAGGAGACTTGTAGAAAAGACCCTATTTGGTTTCAAAGACAAGGCTCGAAAACCCAAACTAAAATGCAAGTTTGAGCTGTTTTAACTAAAAGTAACTTGCAGTGGCATGTCTTAAAATATGTCACTGCCATTGTTTTAAGATGCACACCAATGCTTCTAAGGCACATTTATAAAAGCTACTTAAATCCCCTAACTAAATTTAGACCCAATCCTGGCTTAATCTAAGACCATTTGATATACAGTATTTAATGCTTACTGTCAGGGCTGGAGATTTCTTACTACAGCGATTTCATATTTTGATCCCGGTGATCTGAGAGGTGGGAAGTATTGATTTTGGGCTTGTTTGAGATGGATTGGAAATACTACAAAAATAAACAACCCCAATGAATGCAAACCAAAAGATTATGTTTTGAGCTTAAATCTCACAGGTAAATATTTAAATGCATATTACTGTTGATGTACTTAAACAATGTATGCTTAGTGTATTGTAAGACAGTGAGACATTGAAAATGTAAACTGATGATTTGACAGGCTGGGAAACTGCCAAAAGGATTTATAATCATTTGTTAACATAATAAAACAGTGACCCTGCTTACAAAATCAGAAATTGATTTTATATTATATTATTCTTATATTATGATTACTAACATGTGTGTATGAAACATCCTTTTTGCCTAGAAGTGTATCTTTAGTATTAGACCTAGTACTTTGAGGAGTTTCAATAAATGCCATGAAATCATTGAAAAACAACACCAATACCACCACCAACAACAAAAGTATCTTAACGCGGCCAGGCACTGTTTTGAGGACAATCCAATGAGCAGAAATATCTGGTCAAGCTTAAAATGTAATGCTATTTCAGAGCAGAACTATATGCTCCAATTCAAGTAGCTTACCTCAGAATATTTTAAGGGTTGACCTTGAAATAGTTTCATCTCCCGTGGAGTCCTTCAACTTTGATTGTGTTCACAGATGAGAAGTGTCACATTTTTTTTTGTTTCTTTTTTTTCTGAGGCCTTTTATACTACATTGTGCGATCTTTGTCTCTCTCTGCTGGTGGACAGACGTAAGTGTCTTGAATTTTATAATTATTCCCACGATTTTTAAATGTTTTTGAAAGAAGTCTCTTCTCTTATGCTCACCAAGTCTGAATTTATTTAATGAAAAATATAGTAAACGAGTAATATTGTGAAACATCATTTAAAATAGCTGTTTTCTATTTGAATGGAGCCGTATGCATGATTGTGGCCAAAACTGGTACTGCAATCACTTTCAAATAACTAGTGGTGTGAAAGTAGCCTATGCAAATAGAAAACAGTTCTTTTTATATGCAATAATATTTCGCAATATTACGGTTTTTACTGTATTTGTTGCCCCATTGACTTCTATAATAGCTTATGGAGAAGAAAAAAAAAGTCCGCGGTTCGACATTGTTCAAAATATCATATTTCGTGTTCTGCAGAAGAAATACATTCATACAGGTTTTGGAACAACTTGAAAGTGAGTAAATAACAGTCTTTTCATTGCTGGGTGAGTGAACTATCTGTTTAAAGTTAGCCTAAAGTTCTTCAGTCAAGAGCAGTGAGGGATTTCTTGTCTTTTGTTTGCTGAACAGTGTAAACAGACAGCAGCAGGAATATTACCCATCACATAATGCATTGATCCAATACACCGATACTGTAGGCCTACTGTAGGCCTACACATGCTTTGTCTTTCTCGACTGTTTACGTTCACTTAAGACATAACGTTCGGAATATAGTATTTGCCAAGACAGGCATGTTGACAATGTCTGAGTGAATTTGTCCGTAAGACTCAAAAGCAAACTCAATTTAATATTCGCACACTGTCTGTGAGACAGCTTTCTGTGTGCTTTCTGTGTGTACAGACAAAACTTCACAGCATACAAGTTCTCTTTTGCTCTTCTTGCACTTGAATGTTTAAACTGGCAAGACTTAAAAACATGCGCAAATGAAAAACTCCTGTGATGCAGCACTGGCCCGATCGAGTTTGCACATTAAATTAATGTAGGCCTATATTAACACATTTCAGTGCATTGCACACACAGGATATTGTTTTGTCTGTCATGTATGTTGCTGTGTTAAATTCTGAATGGATCCATGTACTGTAGCAGGTATGCAGTTGGGTAAAGGTGGCTGGTTTAGGGGCTTTTTTGTCATCTCTCTCATCCCAACTTGACTCGTCTAATGTAAACAAACTGTGTGCTGTTGCACTGTACACACAATACACTCAATAGTTTTTTTTTCTGTACATTTTTTTTCATCGGCTTTTTGATGTGCAGAAAAGAAACGTGAAGTCCGCACACTGAAAATAGCAGCTCCAAAAATAAATAAATAAATAAATAAAAAACATTTTTGATCAGGCACACTTTTTGGTGTGCATAAATTGGTTATTTGGTCTCTCAGTGCCCTTTTTTGGAAATAACTAAATTTACCTTGTAAAAAACTTTGAAAATATTTCTTTGGTGAGAATCACAATCTGAAAGTTTATAAAGCAAATGATAAAATGAATGTGTTAAACAAGATATATGGTGTATGCCTAATTTTACGATAAGGGTGTGATTAATGATTAAAAATTGTTTTGCTTTGGCTCTGGGTGACACTGCGGATGGATATAGCTATCCTACTGCTCATAAAACAAAAAAACTCATGAATAGACACACGACACAGTAAATGCCAGAGTAAATGTCATTGGTCAAGTACGGGCTGCATGTAAACCTCACTCCCCTGATCTCAAGAGGCACTCTAGCGAGTCGTGACTGACACTATAGGCTGTGGTCTTTAGCCTCCTTGTTAGAGCGCCCAGACTTGGAGTGGGTTCAATAGGACCGGTTACACCAGTACAGCACTACAACAAAGGTAATGAAATGACCCTTCACAAGATCATGGTTTACAATGAACTCTGTTAGAGAGCTTCACATGGCAATTTATCTGGGAGTGCCCTCTGGTGGATCAGGGCAAGACAAAAACACATTCAAAGTTAACTCGTTAATTCATTATTCAAATAAATTTTGAACAAAGTTATATAGTGTACCTTTAAAGGGATACTTCTCCTCTGGAAAGATGAATGTGTATTTAAAATGGGTCATTTATGTAGAAGAAATGTGAAATTATTTTTGAATTTGGAGGTTTCTAGACTGAGAAAATATAGAAAGTGTATTTTTGGCTTATGTGGATGAAAGACAACAACTCCCAGAATGCACTTGCTTCGCTGCCCTAGGAGGCCACGCCTACCGGTAACAGAGCGTAGTAGTTAAACAACAAGTCTAGGCTACTAGTGAGTCTCTGAGTCTGCCCAAAAATTTGTTTCGAGAACACCCAAAATTCGATCACATATTTAGCGTTCATGTAAACACTACATTCAGATTCACCAATTGGAATGAATTCATTTAGATTGAAACAAAATCTGTGCATGTAAACAATGAGTGTCGACTGCAGAAAGCAAAAGCAGAATCCCGGACATCGACGGCCGGTGATGTCTGGGAAAAAAAGGATGGTAACCCCTACTACTCAGCTTTCTCCACAGAATAAGAGCCTGCTAGCTTAGCTTCCAAAAAAAGACGTCTGACACTATGTGTACATTCTGTGAGTGAGATCCCACCCTCTATGGGCGGGTTGAAAACATGCGGGTCAGACCCTACTACTGACTGTGTCTTTAGCCTCTGGCCAAAAAATCCTCCAATGACGCAAAATGACGAATTTTGCATAATCTGAGGATTTTTTTTTTCCAGACAAAAAATACATTAATCTCTCGTCTCAGGGGGATATGAGGGTGGAAAGCATGGCAATTCGAAAATACTACAGGTTTACTAAATACAAAGTTTAATGCTAAATCCTTAAGTCAAGGTTTACTCAAATTTAAATGGTTAAGTTTTTTTTTGTAAATGCACATTGTTTAAAGATGTTTTAAAAATGTTTACAGTAAAATGAGACAAACCAATTAAAAAAAAAATGTAGTGTACTTTATTGTGTTTGTGTCACAATTCCTTACTTGGAGGATACATAAGTAAGTAAGCAAGCAAGTAAATAAATAAATAATATCAGCAGTTGAGGGAAAAAATGTTTGAATTATATTACAAATTATTTTTGTTATCATTGCAGTGTAAGTAAAGGATTATTCCTGACAAAAATAAAATCACAAGACACTGCTTTTCGCTTTGAAATCCACCTGGTGGCGGATCAGACCTTGCCCAACACAACAGCGCGTGCATCACATCAGACTTCCCCGGTTGTCTCTTCTTACTGCGGTAGGCCCTCGCCTCACAGTAAACCCCAGAGTAGACTGCATATAAAGCAGAATAAAGACAGTCGCTTTGAGAGATTATTATTTACCACGCTCCAAGAGCAAAACCTCTAGCGGCCAACCTCTAGTCGTAAAAATATATATAAAAAGTGCGCGGGGTCTGCGCGCGAGGGCCAGAAGCAGCCGT